CCTTTTCACTACGATGCATCCGCGGAAACGGAGCACGTCAGCCGAATCCACGTCGCCTATTGGGTAAGAGCCTACCTCACCAGCACCGCGATCGTAAACAATAAATAGCCGGCGAATGTCTCCTAAAAGTTTTGTTAAATAATATTCAGATCCACATTTTGTAGCATGATTAGAGATGTGTGGCGAAAATTGCCACATTTGATAATGCTGAGAGCCAAGCGCCATCTATCGTGTGGTAAACGAAGCAACTACTGCGCGTGCGCAGTAGGGCAGGGCCGATTTCAGTTTCTTGGGTCACGACGACCGACGAACGGCTATTCCTTTGATTTCCATCCTCTCAAAACTCTGACTGACCGATCGTTTATTTTTCTACGTGTTCTTCTCGCGCGTGCCGACTTCAAGCAGCAAGAAAAAAAGTACTTGAAACAGACCAGGACGAACAAGAGCGCTGGATCCACAAATATAGGCCTAGCAGGCACTCCGACTCGGCGCAGCGTTGCTTCGTCGCAAGACCCTCTGCCTACGACCGGCTGGCGTGCTGAATGGAATATGCCCGCGCTACCCTTGTGGACCCTTCCCGTATTATAGTTTGATCGCTGACCTCAATTTTAGATTAAGAGGTGAGGTCAATCTCTTCCCCTTGTTTTCCGAGGCAGTGTTGACGAACACTCGTCGATTCTATCTTCTTGTTTTGTGTGATATAGAGCTGAAATAAACGCCGTATGGATTACCTTCGTAACACGGTATGTACACTTTGTTATTGGTATGCCATTTTTATTCTGACAGACTGCACGTCACTGTCGAGCTATAACAGTTCGTGGGAAGTATACGTGCAATGCCGGTCCAACCTTTCTTTGCCGAGTGTCGCGTCAGTATCGAGTTGCAATCGTAAAAGATCGGTCCCGAAGCGCTTACCAACAGCGCGAATACACTTCCATCAAACGCGCGCGTCCGCTCCGAGTGTGAACAGGTATTTACGTGGCTCTTGCTGACACTCGTAGTTCAAACGTATCTGTTTTAACGTCGGCTCGCTCGTGCATCTCCGAGGCCGCGATAAACGCCGCGGCAATTTGTTTCCATCTACGTCGCTTTGCAAACGACTGACACGGGCCGCCTTTTACCAACAATGACAGTTGGGTTGACTTCTGGAGTCTTCACCAGAAGACTCGCTGCACTTCCCAACAGGCATACCGGCGTATGGGACTAGTCCCATGCTGTCGCTGTAGCGCAACATATTTCATTGAATTTCGCTCAGCTGCGATGCGGCAATGAGAGGCGTCGATTCAGAAAATACGTCGGTGACATCAGCGCATAAAACCTACCGGCGCACCCCAACTCGTCGCCACTAACGCTCCCATTCTCCTACTGCCGAGAAAACTTTCGGTTCCGGAAACAGCGTACGTCACGGCTTGTTTTGCGGTCAGTTGGAGAGAAAGAAAAAGTCGATATTTCATTAATTTTTTGTGTAGAAGTTAATAAACCGAGACGAAAACGGATGCCTGTTCGGCATTCAGTGAACATTGACGGTTTAATGTAAAGGTTATCTGCAAAAAGTAAAAAGGTCATTTCATGGTCCCTTTAAAACAAACGAAGCATAACTTACCTTGTTGGTACTGTTATTACAGATCAATAAGCAATTATTGGTGAGTGGTACTTCGTTAAATTACTGACGTAAAACTTTAAGGTCACGTGATCAAAAATGTGGTAAAAAATGTGCAACATGGCGGCGGCCCATTGGGCGCCACTTTCAGCTGCCAGTTTATTGCTCTAAGGCCCTCTACATCGTTGACTGCCATAAGCGAGTTATTGTACGCTGCCTGGAACGCGTCTCCGACTGGTATGTTTAGCACCCTATTCCACCCATGCATCGATAGTTGTCCCCAAGTAGCAAGAAATGACGTCACGTAAGAAGGACGCTTTCGTTTGTCGCGATCCTGGCGGTTGGTCGTAAAAATGCTCGCGAAAAGCACGAGCGAACTCGAGTGTCGCTGTCGTCACGGCGTTACAACTCCCGACTGCCGAAGCGTCCGTGGACTGTCAAGCTGGAAAGCAATCCTGCAAAGAAACAGGCGTCTACCACATAAACCACCGCTGCTGTGGCTCCGCCAGGATCGCAGTCGGCGACAGCATACACTTGTACGACGCCATCAAGCGGAAATGGAGGGACCACTTTTTTTCTTTGGACACACTAGTCGGAGAAGCGTTCCAGGCACTATAGTTTTAGTAACCGATTGTTTAAGAAACGCGGGGCGTTGGGAGTCCCGCGCTTCTTGTCATTTCTCGAGAGCCAATGAGAGTATTGCATTAGCGGATAAGAATTCCGAATGACGGATCATTAACATAATAATCCCAGGCCTGTGTTTCCTACAGTTTCAGTGACTATGCGGAGCGCAAGTTTGTCTGCTTCTGCAGGTAGACGGGTCAAGACGACATCAGAACGCCGAAGTCTTATTAGCCGATTGAAAACAAAAATCTGGGTAGACCTCGAGGCAGCTAGCATTCAGGTCTAGCCATTATCCTTTCGGTCAAAGTCAATCACAGCTCGGCATCGTTCGAACGTCACCGGCTCTCCGCATATAGCCAGTAAGACACATTAGCATTCTTGTACGTACTGATGGTAGTCTCGCGTTATTTTACATATTTTACACCATTTTTTTGTTCGATGAATGGTAGCTAAATTGTCCAATAAACAGCGTTATTGGCGTACTCATGTTACTATTGGATTGGGCTACAGGAGGCTAGAAAGAAATTATTTCCGTTCAAAAGTTACTTGGAGTGCATCAGGGAACCTGACACGAAGAGTGTCTGGCAAAGATAAACTCACGCGCGTGGCGGCCACAGTAGAGCGTGTCCTGGTATCTGAAGAAAGGCTAACGTCAACGCAGACAGGCTCTCGGAAGACACAAGCCTAGCGGAGCTGAGCCGAAATCTCTTCCTCCTTCTCAGGTTCAGCTCTACACGTTCTTCCAGATGCCACTGGCCTTCTTATAGTATCACGTTAACTCTTCGGATGAGAACGTGAGAGCCCATGCACGTCTGGAAGAGCGTCAAGAAACACACCCTGAGTTCTACACTCTAGTCCGCAGCCGGTGTATAATCCGCATTGGCAAATTTGGGGTCAAACATAAAGGTTTTGTTGGGAATGTCCGCACGCCGCACATAGTCCGCACTTGGTGCCTAATTCAAAAATAAAAAATATCGTACGCAGCACACCTTGACAAATAAATGCCTGTATTAGCTCATAGAGAAGCTTGTATCGTACATAAAGCGATTTTAGTATACTCTGTTATTCCTAGAGATCCTTCAGGTGTTATCACAGCGAAGATTCTAAAAAAATATCCTTGTATAGTCCGCGCTAGTTGATAGTCCACACCAGGCGAATTTTCAACTTTTAAGATTGCATAGCCCCCAGACTACAGTCCGCAAAATATAATATGTATTTCTAGCTTTGTAGCTACCCTCGCAAACATTATGAGGGCCTTGTGGCATTTGGAAATATCAAATAACAAGATGGGGACAAAAAAAACCTGAAGCTCTAGGCTTCAATCAAATTTACACCGTATCGAGGGTGGCCATAGTTCTTATGGAAAATATCTATATATAAATTTAAGAAACAGCAATAACATGCCATAGGCTTTCTTGATTCGAACCACAGGTAAACGGCAACCCTAACGGAAATGCCCCAAGCGTGTATTCTAGATCAACTGAACAAAGGCTGAGAAATTTAACGTTTAATCCCGCCAGTTCAACACAGTCGAAATAAGGAAAACACAAAAAATTACGTTTTAGCAGTCCTGTTCTGTACGAGCAACAGCGGGTTGTAAGTAATAGGCCGATGTGATTGTGAACATAAAGGCTTTGTTTTTATTCTATCATTACATCTCTCAGTCTGTAAGTTATTAAGACCCGTTCCAAACTGCTACGTTTCAAAGCTATCTTATGCATGATGACTGCATTTGTTTTGTTTTCATTTCATAGAAGTCAAAGCCTTAGTGCTGGCTTTCCTAGTTTCAATCATTTATAAACCTGCCTGTTGGTTTGCGTGCAATCTTCTTTTTTTTTTGTCATCCAGGTATATGTTTTTTTTTCCTTTAATGGCTATAAATATACATCTGCAAATATATATTTCCAGATATATAAAGTAATAAAAAATATATAGGCATATTTTGTTCACTCATTTGCGAATCGCATTGAACCACGCCCTTTTCCTTGAAAAACTGGCAAAGTGAAAGCTATGTCCCGGTGCATAAGTGCTGCAAGCTAACAAGAAAGTGGTCAGGAATGTATTTATCTTCCTTGTTATGCTTATAACATTCCACTTTCGCCATTCCATTGTTTATAATTTATCGGACCTACTACTGCATATCTGCTATTGTTAAACCGGCTGATGTCCCAACTTCTCACAACGCCTCTTGTTATACTACGTAGTCCTAATCACCGAAGACAAAGGAAGCATCTTAGGTATCCGGAGGGGTATTCTGAAAACAACCCGTTCTAGCTCCCGGCGTGTCCACCAGCCTCGTTAGCGAGAAGGAAACGCCCGCACACAACGACGATCCCCGTTGAGCAACACGCGCCATCAGAGACGCGATCACAGCACACTTCCATGAAAACTCGGAGCAGCTAGCAGCCTGCGCACGAAACCAGTTCCCCTTCGTTCAAACCAGTCTTTGCCTCTCCCTACGTTGTCTCTCATTTCAGCTTTCCTACTTATTTTTGAGCAGCGTGTACGGTTGCAGCAGTCTGTGCTCACGCACACGCTTCCTCCATCAGCAGCTCAAATATACCCGGTTTCGCCTTACATGGACCTCAGCGAATGCTACCGGCCAATCACGTGCTACAAACGTAACACGTGACCGCGCCGCCGTGCCGTTTCCGAAGGTCACGTGACGGTCACGAGCCGTTGGATTGGCACCGATGGCTCGTAACGTCCTCTGCGGTCTATCATAGAGTGAAACAAAGTACAACGTACCGCCCTCTCTCTCGACGGCGTCTCTCATGTGACCGGGTGAGGACTTCTTTATAAAAGAAGCCGGCAAGGGACCGTCCAAGGTTTCAGGCTCATCTTCGCATCGTCGTCGGAGAATTGTTGTCGTGACGAGTTGTGCGTTTTCTTTTTCTTCGGATTACAAAACGATCGACGCGAATCTCGACCGCAATGAAGATTCTGCTGATCACGGTTGTCGTCTGCGTCTTCGCTGCTACGGATGCAAGTCGGAGGAGCACCAGACGTGAGTTTGCCTTACGGTGACAAATCGATTAGGTCAATGTTTGACACAGTCCACCGTTCAATGCAAATTGTAAAATACGTAGAACGGGTAGAGTAATGTTTCGCTAATATAAGCATTTCTGCTCCACCCCCCCCCCCCCCCCCCCCCGTTCCCCCCCAAAAAAAAGAAGTTCGTAATGTGAGTTGTCCAGAAAACTTCAAAACTCTATATATTTACCCCGTTCGTTCCCGAGAATGTTGTCTATATAGTGGCGTATTCATATTAAGGAGGCTCGCAATAACAAAACGTGACTGTAAAAAAATAAGGAATTGGTGTCCGAGTGGTGTTACCGATCCGCAGCTCGGAGAACGCTAGGCGAAAGTTCGCACTGCAAGACCCAGGGATCCATGGTTCAATCGCCACCTCTGCTCGTTCCGATGGATGAGCATCGTACCGGCGTGCTGTCGTGTGTTAGTACTGCGTAGGGCACGTTAAAGTCCCCAGGCTAGCGGTTGTACCACACTGGCTAAATTTCTCACCTATAGTCGAGACGCCAGACGCCGGTTGGTACTGCCTAACTTCCAAATCTCTACACTCTAAAAAATATTTGTACGTCTACTTTCACGCACAACACTCGGAGAGCCAATCACCGCAACTTACGGAGGCAGCTCAGCGAATGACGATGCCGAAACATATGTTTAGACCAAAAAAACGCAGTTTGAGTTGTGACATTAAGCAATGCAAAACGTCACGCTTGCATTGCTTAATGTCACAACTCAGACTGCGTTTTTTGGTCTAAACATATGCTTCGGCATTGTCATTCGCTGGGCTGTCTCCGTAAGTTGCGATGATTGGCTTTCCGAGTGTTGTGCGGGAAAGCAGACTCACGGGCTTTTTTTAGAGTGTAGGCAGACGCAGCACACTGAATAATTAAAAGAATATGCCAGTAAAAACCAAAACTTAAAGTAAATTTAGACCATGCGAAGATCGGACACGGCTCTTGCGCAATGTTTTTCTTGCGTTCGATCCACTTGTTTTACCGCCAAACGTTGGCTGAGAAGAAAGCTCAATCATGAAATGACGGGAGTTCATTTCTAGAACGATCCCAGCATTGACTGGTGTGATGCTACGCAACTTTTTTGTTGGTTTTCGTACATACGTGATACGGGTTTAAGCGACGCTTTTCCCAGGTGTTTCAAAATACGATTTTGGAGACTTTTTTGGCCATATAAAATCCCTGACCTGATCAAGTCAAGTTTTTTTTAGTCTGATTATCATAATAAAAGACGACTGCTTATTTCAATATTACATTAGCGTGTTAACGAAGGCAATTAACCACCTTATTGTTTTGTACTTCTAACATTTATAGCTTGTCTTGATGAGGTCTTATATTGCAAAATATTGTATTCAAACATGACTCCTCAAGATGTATGCGTCTTAACCTTTTTCATGTTTTTCAAATTCAAAGATAATCCCAGCGTACGCTGTATACCGCATTCTAAATAAAGTCTAGTATAGGGTGTTTAACCTTATGTGAAGCGAAAGTGAAGGCAAGTATGAGCTTGTTGCGCTAAACGATATTTGAAAGGTGTAAGCCAGCATGCTTGACAGGGACGCTAAAATCCCGAAGCTCGCTCTTGAATATTTTGCTGCGCTGGCACTTCTTACAAGAAAGAAGTAAATGTTTATTTTTTTATATATAAATTCCATGCATTTAACGTCATCGCGTCATGTTGGTGGTTATTCCCACTTGTTCATGCCGATGAACACAAATTTGTGGTGCATTTGCCGTAAAAGGCATTTGCTTTACGACAAGGCCTCAAAACGGCACATAATGAGACCGCAGTGCAAGCCATGTATTGATTTATTTGCATAGAATCAAATATAAAAAAGGGTAGATCAAGCGACTAAAATAAAAATGTAATTAAAGAACCTTGGTCAATTGAGCCCATAAACCACTAGAGTTTCTAAACGCACACGAATACTGAGCTCTTGATCGTCACATTCATTCGATGCCCAGTTTGAATTTGGAAGTTTACTTGGCATTGACTTCAAGTCCAAATTACGCATTTTTATTGTCCCAAGTGGGCCTTCTCAAAAGTTTATGTTCCGCATATATGGTTTACTGAATTTCTGTAGGCTAAGGTTTAGTTTCAATAATAAATAAAATTGTAGAAGTGGTGTTTTTTTTCTCACCTGCCGTAACGTTTTTCTTCAGGGCAACAATTTACCGACTGGAGGAACTGCATGGTGGAGCAGCTGCCATCAGAGGTATTCCAAAAACCGTCAGGTGGAAGTGACCAACATATTATCGCAATTATCTATACACTCTAAAAAATTGCCTGCGTGTCTACTTACCCGCAAAACACTCAGTGAGTCAATCTCTGCGATCTACGAAATCAGCTTAGCGAATGATGAGGCGGAACATCTGTTTAGGCCTCAAACTTAACTCTGCGCCGTGACGTTACGGAGCACAAGCATGGTGCTTTGCATTGCGTAATGACACAGCGCAGACTTAATTGTTAGGTCTTAGCAGAAGTTCCGCCTCATCATTCGCTGAGCGGATTTTGTAGATCACAAAGATTGGCTCTTTGAGTGTTTTGCGGGTAACTAGACGCGCAGGCATTTTTTAGAGTGTATCGCAAGACTTCACGATCACAATAGCCAACGAAGCCCCCCGGCTGCTCGATGTTAGAAAATATCGCACAGAGTTTTCTTCTTTTTCAGAAAAAACCTATCTACGACGCATGCTATAACAGGTCGAGGGGTACTGATATGCACAAGTTCCGAGAAGTAAGTAAAGAACTTTTGATCATAAAGCGCTATGGTGACTGATAAATTAAGAAATGCAGGGCGTGGATTCTTGCCTCGTATTAGGTTCTTGGACGTCCTCATCGGCTCATGTTCCAGTCTTATGCGGTGCGCAGTTTCGTGTGCTACTTTCTCAGGAGTTGCGGTGACATCAGAACGCCTGGCTCTGCCTGGCTCTGATTGAATTAATTGTTTTTAGCTAGGCAGCTAGTATTGAGATCTACCCACCATCTTTTGCATCCGAGCCAATCAGAGCTCGGCGGTCTGACGTCCCCGCAACCCCTGCGGAAGAAGCACACGAGCTTGCGCTCTCCATTGGCTCTGGAGCGATTACAAATGCTTGGAGCTAGCCACGCCTTGATTGTTTTAAGTTGTCAATCACTATAAGAAGCAACCACTTCATAGACCCTCTTGTCGTTATTAAGAAAAATTAACAGTTATAACCGATTTATCTGCTGGATCAATCACGATTAATATATCGTCTAAGATATCGTAAGTGACGGTGGATGTCACCAGCCCCTGTTGGCTGACATGGGGTTTAAGAATAAAAACATGAAGAGTGAACAGGAAAACGCACTAATGATAGAATGCAACTGCATGGCAATTCGCTTTACACGTAGAAACACTGTAGATGCAGGCATAATTATTTCTTTGACGGATTTTCGAGTGATTGTTGGCTTCTAATTATTCTAATCGCGGTCTTTCTTTTCAGGGACTGAAATGCGTCCTCACTGACTACAACTTGGTAAGTTTCTTTTTTCTTTGTGACAATCATGAAACCTTTATTATCACGATATATATTTAAAGAGAGTATTCCTAAGCAGTGGAAAGTACAGATACAACTCCTACAGGCATTTATTTCGAAGGTGTTGTTTAGAAACTTGCAAGATTTCCCAACCCGAACTTGAGTTCAGGCAAGAGATAAAATAAATAATACTTCAAAAAAGTCTGGCAGGGAACTTTTCATTTTTACAATAACCTAGGATTCAATCGAACACAGTAGACTAAAGCCCAAGGGGCTTCAGAGACTATATTCTGGACCTTAGTGTGTTGCTTCCCCCTGCAGCTCAACGGAACGAAGATAGACCTCGCTGCTATGACAACCCGCGCTTCCTCTGTCTCCGGAAAGCTTGGACAAGCATTCACCGATTGCCCCAAAGACGATCATAACAGGAATGTGAGTAACGCGTTCAACAGCGACAACATAACTTCACGAAAATTGGCGATCCTAGCAGCTGTTTTGTTGCTCCAATTCGGAATTTTAAATTTGGGGGGCATGAAGGGCGGTTTCTAAATAGCTCGCCGAAAAAACGCCTAATTTGGGCAGGCTTGACTATCGTAGGTGTTTAACTTGGGCGTTATGCGGTTTTGCTTCAAGGCTTTAGTTAGTAGCAGATTACTTTGGCGTTTGTATGTGTTTTTTTTTTGCGTTACGTAATTGCCAAAGTTTCAGGCTTGGGCCAAAGATGTCAGGCAAGCTATTTACCGAAAAACCAGCAGTGAAGCCTACGTCTCGCACTTTTTTGAAAAGTTAACTCCAAAGTTGTCCTACGAAAGCCCCACAACCAGAAGATAAGTTTAACTCTGGCCCTTGTTTTCCAAATTAGGGTTTAGCTGCACCTTGACTTCTTCCGGCCTTTAAAGGTCCTCAATTCCCAGACAAAACTCAAAATTTGGACCAAAGAATTGTTCTACCTGAGTCCACAAAGACAAGCGGTCCTCCTGCTGTGGTGCGCACGGCGTCTTTGCTCGAAGGAAGCTTAATCTTTCAGTTTCGTCTGGTCATTTTACAATGGTGAAATAAAGTCCTTATTGCAGCTAATGTATGCTGGCCTTTGTTCGGCGACCTTTATGAGCAGTTTCGAAGAGGAGCCGAAAATCGTTATAACATCTTGGGTGCTGAGCAAAGGGCTTTACAGTTGCTTTAATATGTGACTGTGTAGAGCATGAACAGCAGAAATGTGTTGTTTTGTTTTCAGGCTGCAAAGGGTGTCAAGTGCATCATTGACCGTTTGGAAACAGTGAGCTCAAATATTCTTTGTCTTCTATCAATAACAAAAACACCCTGAGAAGTTATGATAAGCGCACATCAAGGCACACTATTTACAGTGCACAATACATCTGTCTAAAACTACATTCAGTTTCTAGATTTAGGATCAAAACGATACCTGAGATATCCAATTATCAGCAAATTTTAATAGAAATGTTACCAAAAGCTTGGAGAGCATAAATATCATTCAACAAAAGCATTGCTACGATCCCAGTGGCAGTGGGCGATACCCGTTCACGTCTAATTATTTGTATAAGAATAGGTATTGAAGCAAGCAAGTATGGCTATTTGACTCATTCATAAGGATGCCATTATCACCCAAAATGTTTAGACGGGTGGGCTTAAGTTGACTTGCTGTCTTCTTTCCAAAATATGCAAGTTCTTAATCAGAGTGCTCGAGGAAGTGGCTAAAACAGTCTGGAGAACAGAATCTTCACAAACCCTGACCTTGCAAGACATGTTGTTGAACTTTACAAATCATTTCTTTACGAAATGGTCGCAGAACACTTTATTCGCAGGAATTGTCTTCACGGCGAGTGCCAAATATGTAGGCTCAGGACTAAGGCGGCAAACTTTTAAAAGGAGAGTATCAAAATAGTGATACCATGATATGGAAAATGTCGTAACATAAAAGGGAATTACATTGAAATGCAGACTGAGATATGCAGAACTGAAAATAGATAATTTCACAAACAATGTTGCATAAGCTTCTTATTTCAAAACTAATTTTACGTTCTGGATGGGGCGTGTTGGAACATGATTCAACATACGCACTTTAAGCTTGACCTGAACTTAACCAAGGGTGATAAAATTCCAATTTATAAAGATGAAAACTAATTGAATCTTGAGACTTTGAGAGCATGTTTTAATTCGTTTATAAAATGGCGTTATAATTAAAATATAATAGCGTTAGAATTAAGTCATGGCATCGACTGGCTCAGTACTAACTTTTTAATAGTAATCATTCCGTAGTAAACATCTAATTGAATACTTAGTGCCTACTGATTCAGTAAGCTTTGCAATTTTGCCTTGTTTATACGTGTGATGAATATATTGTGATAATTTTGCGAACACTTTTTATGGTCAACTCTAGACTAGCCAGAGAGTAAAAAATTAATTTTTGTTTCCTGTTTGCGTATTAAATTAAGACTTCTAACATACACCTCTTTTTAGTCAAGCAAAGATTATTCCTACGTGGAATCTGCTCACTTTTCTCCTGCACCTTTTGCACCTCTTATGCGCCCTAACATAGACTGGGATCTCAAATCCTAGAAATTATGGCAGCATGACGCAGATACCAGCTGTTATTAGATTCCTTATAATAGTTGTGAAGCGTTATAACTTGGCTGCGGAGCTTGAAACTATGAACAACTTGCAGATGTGTAACCTCTTACCATCATAATGTTACAATTAATGTGAAAACTTGTATTCTCTCACTCAGGATTGCCCTGTACCAACTGGTAGCACTGCTCACTAACACCTGTGATTCAACGAAAGTCTTTCAAATGAACATAAAAGGTAAAGTTACTCCGTGTTGTTTGTTTTTTTTTGTTTTTTTTTTCAGTTCCTATTTAGTTACTTTAACTAAATATATTTTCGGAATCATCGGCCTTTACTCTTTCCGGTGTGCTATTTAGTATCGCGAAATCCAGAATAGCTATTTTGAAATCGGCTAGTGAAAATCATTCCAAAAGCAACATTTAAATATACCCGTGCTTCTCAGTGGCGTGACATCAGGGGAATGCAGGCTTTCAGGTCAAGCGGGCATAGATTACGCCGAGCATTCGTTTCGTGCTGCTGCGCGCGTGCTAAAGCGCGCTTTTATTTGTAATTTGTATACAGTTGGGAACAAAGTCTACAGTCTAAAGAGTGAGCGCCTCCCTCCCCCTGACGTCACTTTTTCATTGTTGCCAGTAGAAACTTTCACTTTGGAAACCACGGTACGGACCAAAATTGTAAATTCAATAACTTCGCGAAACAAAAATTTATTTTGACACAATATTTGGGTTAATATTTCAGTGATGTTCGCTGTTGTGTTCAGAAAACTTTCAGACAAATTGGTGACTATAAAACAAACGCCGGAGTACCCCTTTGATGTGGGTGTTTTTGATATCGCCGTTAATATTTATTTTATTTTTTCTAACGAACACTTATTCTTACAAACTCTTCTCTAAAAAAATTATTAGCCCTTCCACTCTGTGAAGGTGAATGACCAGCGAAACTGTTTAGCCCATGTCACAGACTCGCCCTGAGAAGCCGGAGGAAACTAGACACGCGCGACGGGACCGCCACCCCGGGAGTTCAGAAGGAAAGGAAACTGGGCACGCGAGCGCTTGGGACGACGACAAGGAGAGGGCGGTACGGGCGTAGATATGGCCAATGAGTGTAGCACAGCGGCAAATCTTTGAAAAAGCTTTATTAGGTACCTACCTGAGAGTCTACTTATCGTGACATTGGTGCCTATTGAAAACTAATCTACTGAATAGACGTATTGCTAAATTTCCCAAAGATCAAGGAGAATCCAGGGAATGATGGTCCACGCGCCGCACGTGCCGGCGTCTGCAGCAGTAACTGTTCTAAAGAAAAACCCAAAAACAAATGGCATCTTGCACCCGTGTTTGTCAACAATTTATTTTATTTCTTGCCGAGAAGGCGTGCGCGCGCGGCACGTGCGGCGGCGAGAGCGTAGAGATTTTGGTTACGCACACGAAAAATCCACGGAACCCTAGCCATAAACAGCTTCGCTGTAAAAGCTTGTTCCAAAGTTTTGAGCATAGCCAATCAGCATTCACCTGCGGATATAAAAATAAAAAAGAAGAGAGTACGTTCTCTATAGTTCGAAGATCACGGTGTTCCTGATTTTTTGTGCACCATCACCGGCGAAACCGCGCAGTGGATATGTCATGACTTGGCGCTTTTAGTATGTGCGTCTATGTGCGTGCGTCTCTAGCCTTTCTTAACTCCCCTAAAATGACACGGAGTACGATGAGCTACAGTTACTCACAACTTAAAACAACGCACGTCCTGCCGAGTCTTGTGCATCTTATTAATTGGCAGCGGATGAGAGTGGGGCACTAACCGATATGAATGCCGCAGAACAAACCAGGTCTCAAGAAGCGTGGACGCAACAAGTCAAGCCTTCCGTTTCTTTTAAAGGCCGACTTCCAGAATCGCGTTCTGCTGGGCAGAAATCCGTTCCCAGTTTCCTTCTTTCCACTTCCTAGTGCGCACCTCCCTTTTTCTCCTGACATGAGCGGGTCTTCGAGCCACTCTTCGTAGGAAGGAGGAGGTTCTTCCACTTCCTCGAATGGAAAGAAAGTATCGAGGGAGGGTTTCCTTCTTTTTTGCTTCTCGTCGGCCTTTAAGTTATCAGTGATTATCCTGTTGCGTAGTTATTATTCTGGTTTGTCGCAGTTTGGATTTCATACGTTGTGAGTCACTAAGTGAATGCTGCCATTGAGGTTTATGCTCCTTTTTCAGAACCCGATGCACCCTCGGTCTGGTGCATGGTGCCTACGCCGAGAAACGTGGAACAGCACTCATATGCCTATTACATCGAATAAAACTCAGCAATCATCCCAACTGAGAGTTTCAATGGACCGTTGCGAATTCCTCCTGGTGACAAATTAGATCCTTTTTTTTTAGAAACTTATTGATAACACATTTGGATTTCACGTTCGTAAGTACAGTAAGCTTCCTATTACACACGTATAAGAGGTCAGATTCCTGGCGACCACCAAATTGCTTTTACGTTACAAACTCCAGATGGATTTTGTATTTCTGACCATTCAATCTGAGTACTGAAAGGAACAAGAGAGTTCGACTCACATAAAATAAAAAAACAGGATGCAAAAACCGTAAAACATTTTTCGCGCAATTTCATTGTTATTGTATTAGGAACGAGCGTTATTCGCCAGAATTCATAGAACGTGACTTGTATGTCAACAACATAGGGGTTTTAATGAGGCGTCTTGTGCTTCCCCGAACCGAAAGAGGTTTCTTAGATCTCCCACACTAAACACCTACATAGGAAGTACCGAGCTGGATGATTCTTATCATTTACTGTTTCTGGATGTTAATATGGGCGATTCCATACTTCCGCACGTTCCATTTCTTTTTTGCTCTACCTTCCCCTCCTCAATCAAAATTCGTGCTAAATACGTTTATTGTTTGTTTTTCTAGCATTTAGGGGCGTAATTGTTTATAGAAGGACTTCGCAGAGGAACGCGAAACTCGAAACGTATTTCTAAGCTCAATATTATATTAGTTTTATGGGTTTTCTTTTTTCGGATATGCGATCTTTTTTTCGGTTATTTTATACATTATATTACTGTTCCCAGTGTAGCCCCACTGGCGTATTAATACTGGCAACTACGGCGGTTCATTTGATGTTACTAGCCTCAAGACATTGCCAACGACTAATATTGTCACGAAGGAACAAAAGAGGAAACTAAGAATAACTGAGGAAACTGAAACGTTTAATGGGGCGAACTTGTGCCCAAGAAATAAAAGAGGAAACAAGATAACAGCAGAGCGTCGCGGGCGTCGAAGTCGGCGAAAGAGCAGAGTCGAACGCTGGGGTGAAACTGACTCGACAAGGTCGCGGGCGGCCTCTTATCTAAGGTGAGTCACTATCTCGAAGATTCGGCGGAGAAGGTTCGAGCGTAGCGCGCTCGGGGCGAGAATGAACACGCACTTTCTGGAACAACTAGAGCAGGGATAAACGATAGAAGTTACGTCCAGAACAGGAATAAACGAGAACTTTCTAGAGGTCCGTGACCGAGCGTTGCTTTCTCGGTTCCCTGCGCGCGGCAATATTTATGGGAGCAAATAAAACGTCACCGCTGTTTCAAGGAGTGCATGAAAGTGTAAGACACGTAGAAGAGACACGATATGTATTCTAGCCAAACTCGACAGTGGCCTTTCTAGATTCTTAATTGCAATCAAGGTGTTTACTGCGGGTCCGTTTCTCTCGGCACAATGCATCTTGGGTTCTAGTAATTACATTCCACGACAGATTACTGCCTGCTTTCAGGTCTTTCCATTCTCTTTCTCGGCACACGTTTCCTTCGAGACCCGATCAAAGTGGTTGACCATGAGCTGAAGCATCATTCGTAATATAACATAGTGTAGTGGCATCTCCCTTCTATCAGTAGCTTTTTACGCCTCGGTGGCATTGACCTACGCACTGGTTGCCTGCGTTGTCTCTTGAAACGTCGTAGAAACATTAGGCCTTTTTGAATGCTCTTAAAATTTTTGAGGTGCTGAGTGTTAATTTATGTTCACTTCGCTGCTTCATCACTGAATGAAACCGCTTCAACAATTTTTCTATAAAAGAAAAGAATTCCAACGACTTCAGCATATTTCAAGGCGCAGCTGGTTACGGTTCCGTCGCAACTAAAAGTAAAAAGCGAGATAATATCTTACTTTTTCTTAGTTTTAAAAGGATGTTGCAGTGGAGTATATCCCTCATTTGATAAATTCACTCAAAAGAGATTACATGTAGTTGTTATAAACACACCCAGACATCATCGTCGTCAAGGATAAGCACCCTGCGGTCGGTCATTAGTGCGTAAAGGCGAGAGATCCCCGAGGGGATTACTAACCGTAAATGCATTTTGCGAAATAACGTCATACCGATTCGGAGAACCCATTAGACGATAGCATCAGGCACATTATATCACGCAGTTTCCACTCTAAATCGGTGCACCACGTTGGTACGACGTTGGGCTAGCGGTGCTGATGCAACACACCCAAGGTAACAAGGCCGTGCGGCTGAATTTACTACGTCACAGGCCGGAGGCCAGCGTTGAGCAGACGCTGCACAATCTGTGTGCCACACTGGCCTATATGGTACATGACGTAAATATACTAACAATTCGGCCTTATTGTTCAGGAGCTCTTGCTTGACTTGTGCTCCTGAACCAACTCGCTAAATTTTATACTTTAGACTAGAGTAAGCAACTGTTCCCTTTGACGGGTCATCAACGGCAGGGGTTTCGGGCTGTTATTACCCCATAGTGTCAAACAAATGTCAATTTAACAATAAAATCAACTTACCTTTACTTTGGATTAATTGACAGTATCTAATATGTTATAGCTGATAACGTCATGTCAATTTACCCAAAGGGTTGACAACGCCGGAACGATCTGAAGTAATACATTCCATCGCGAATAATGGGGTAATGTACATGTGCATATCAGTCATTGTTCAACCCTATATGCAAGAGCAGTCCGCATCTTTTGCCATAGATGCGAACTAATGAAAGCGGTTATGCTGTTGATAAATGAGTCAGAAATTCGGGAGGAAGGGTTTAATGGTAATGAGTATTACGCCTCCAAACTTTTCAACTCTCACGGCTGCTGGGTGTCCTGATTGAATGTACCGCTTACACAGAAGAGCCAGCCTTCTTTAACAGTGGGATTTCGAAGACTATCTCATTTCAGCGATTCATCAACATATTGTTACACCAAAGATTAGCATCTGCTTCATCTCCATCAACATTGTCGTCACGCCTGGCGCGGGCTGAATGAGTCAGTTCGAATCTGAACCTCAGCGTGCGTAGTCGGAACATTAAACATCCTACCGTCAGCCTAACAAGTGGTGGAGGTGGAAGATTAAGAATATTAAGGAGAATATATGTTTTTTCTTATGCGCAAGTCACTTCCTGATTGGTTATTTTGGACAAACTGTGTAAACAGCTTGTCGTAAAGAAGGTCATAAAATATGACAGATAGGCATTCCTGAGCCATGATCAAAGTAACTAAACTTTCTTAAATGCGAGTATGCTGGGCTCTGCATAATCAGTCTGCAAGCCACATACGCGTAGAGTCACGAATACGACGCATTGCGAAGTGACACCTTTATGTGACGCCACCCTTCATACTCGTTCCGCCGTTAACGTTCGCTACTGCAGCGAACGTTACGAGCCATGTCAGTCACCCTGATCGAAACACTTGACTACATGGCCCACACGCCACTGCACGCTTTCCAGGAGTAACGTGATACTCATGTGGCATTTCACTGGCTGCGATTTCTCGGAGCGTCCGCCGCAGTCCATTGTAAGGCGAAACGAAGCATAATAATGTGTCTCATAACTTTTTCATACGGAAGTGCATCAAGCGATATCTCGCGATTCGCCATTTCAGGGTGAAATCAAACTCAGCAACAATCGTCCGGGCAAGAAATTTTGATAAGCGAAGTGAGCAGCAGCAATTAAAATCCCACAGTATAGACACGTGCAGCGCTGCAGGGGAATGATCTGAACGGGCAAACATAAGCACGTAAAAGGAAAACATTCACAACGATACTAACATGACGTTTAGTCACACTACGTTCAAGTCACATTGCTGGCTCAGATGGGATGCGGACGGCGCCCCGAGAAACCCACGAAGACCAGCGATATCCCTTACGTCTCCTCCATTGAGCGAATCACTTATCTTTCCTCGCGTTATAGTCATACAAACAAATAAAAGACGGTAGTGTCTCATTAGGGTGACCCCTTTTGCTTTGTGATTCGTTCTTACCGGCTAATCATGTAATTTCATTGACGGAGGAAAGATCATAAGATACGTGGAAACCACTTGCGCCCTGTGTTTCTTAAGACGTCAGTGACAATATCTAACGGGATCGATAAAAAAAGGAAACCCGCCACGTTTACTGCCACGTTTGTTTGCTGTTGCTGTTGTTGTTGTTTTTGTTGTTGTTGTTGTTGTTGTTGTTGTTGTTGTTGTTGTTGTTGTTGTTTAATTAAAATAAATGCTACAGACGACGAGAATTCGAAATTTCGGCTTAATCAATTTTCGCTTAGCTGGACGTCGGATCAAGGAGAACTCTTGTTTTTCTTTTATATTCTTATCCAGGTAATGTCGTGTTCTCAAACTTTCTTATTTTATCGCCTATCTTAGCGTCTCCTTCTCACGGAGTTTCAGCTTTCCGCAATACGTAGTTTAGCTATGCAGGTCGAAAAACCGGTTTTTATCTTTCCGATTGATCACTGAACGCATTGTAAATAATCAGAGCTTATCCCTACGATGTGACACCAATAATACGTCGTTTCAAATACCAGATTTTATTTCAGCACTCGGGAAATGCATGGCTCGGCTTTCATGCCAGGCAAGACAATGAACATGACGTAGGTTTCACTCGCGCGTTGTTTCTGTTGAAACTTTTTTTTTTTTTTCAGCTCAAGCCGTTTTTGCATTTGTCATTCACTGGATTCTATAGATCACAACAATCAGGCAATCGCATTTTCTTCGGGAATGTAGAGAGCTTAGCATGTAAATCCTCTTGCAACATAAGAACTCCAGGAGAATCCTGCGGCCCCGCAGTCGTCAAACAGAAAGTTGGAGTCGAAGTTTACAAGGAACGCCGATTACTGGACCTTCGTGACGATGAAGCTGCACTTTTGTTGGCAAAGTACAATCGCCGCTCTCTGCGAGCTTTCAGCTCCTACTTTGTATACGTCGAGTCTTATGTCCCAATGTTCACTCCGCTCAATGCGGATTATTCTGGAGAGAATCGGGCACTGAACGGAGCTTTGCTATATTGGGGCACCGTACTTTAATAAGGAGAGCTGATT